GACTAACTCCTTAGAAAGAAAGACAAGCTGTACGCTGTTTTAAGGACTTTTACGAAGGCTTTTTGACTCTATTAGAGCCTTTATAGATAAGCTGGAAGGTAGAACGACGGCACAACGTTTGTTGGGAAAAGTGGGTGGAAACCTCTGCTGTGCGCATAAGCCAATCCTATATATTACTAAACTTTTATTATGTATTATGCAGTATACTGTATTACCGGATTGCCGATTGCATGTCTTTTGTCACATTTGTTATTACAATGATATTTGCTTTATTTCGGTTCATGAAGGTTCTGGCTGTGAAATCTTCGTCGACAAAATTTGATTTAAAAAAAGCAATTTTAATCAATACACATCAAGTCGCTATTTTAAACGGTTTGAAGTTAATTATATATGACTTCAGCAATGATGCTGCTTTATTTATAAAATCACGAAACTGTGTGTGCGCGACCTTGATCCGCACCCGGACCCTTAGATTCGCAAGGCCCCACTCAGTGCGTTTTACCAGCGCACCGTTAGTGTAAGGGATTCCGTTGTGCGCGACGTCGTGGAGGAGCAGAACATAAACGTGAACCTGATAACTGTTCTCGGCACATGTCGAAAACCAAGTGCCGAACAAGTCTAGGAAGACGTGTCTATCGATTGCAAGGAAGGAGATTTCACCGGATATGAGTTTTTGGGTCCCCTTTTTCAAAAATTACACAAATTTAATAGTTACCTTGCCTTTCGCGTCGTTAATTAATTAGTGGCCATTTGTTCACATTATTGCATTTATGAGTACATGTGGTTAAAATGATGTCTAATAATGTTTCCTGACAACTCAAGTTCTCTGGGGAAAGGAGCTCAAAATTCCACATTTTCAGAAATGCTGCGATACTTTTTTGTGCTAAATGCACTGTAAAAGACTACATAAAGGCCATTTCACTGTTGTTTTTTTAGAAAAATGCAATTTTTATCTCTTAAGCCGTTAATAAGCTCATGTAGATATTTGTATACATAATTGCATTAGTGAGAGATGTGCTTCAAATTACTTCCAATAAAGTTTTCTCAAAACTCCAGTTTCATCTGAAATTAGGCTGCAAATTTCACATTCATACTTGCAGGAAACATGCTAACTAGCAAGAGGATGGGGCAGGCCTAAATGCTACGGCAGAACTAAATTAAAAAAGTAGTATGATAAAGTCTGAGCCATTTTGTAGCACTACTAGCTAAATAACTTCTTTTCAGCAGCGATTTCTGTATGGAAGCCATATGCCTCTGCCATAGAGGCTTTCATGATGAGTCATGCCTGAAATAAATACTATTATTAGAGTGTGCCAGGAAAATGTTCTTGGAGTGTTACCTTGCTGACGAGAGTGACAGCAATTGAAATTACTTTGGGAGAATGACCTTGAGCTTGAAACAAAAAAACAACGTAAATTGCATACTCACCACAATCATAACACATGCTGGAGGTGTTATCTTCCTTACTTTGAGATCTGATTGCTACCAACATAAATGTGATTTTTAATAGGAGGCCCAATTCAACTTGGGGTGGAGAAACTTTCCTGCACACTTATTAAGGAAAAGAAACACAAATGATAAATTCAACTGTTGCAGTGTTTGTAGCGCATACAGGCAAACAAGGATAATTTAACCTCAAGCTTGCCCTGATTTCACTGAAAACAGCTACTCAATTTTGAATAATTCTTAATCAGCAATTAAATGTCTTAAGTTAAAGAAGTGTCCAAATTAAACTTTCAGAGCCGAATGCCATTCAATATACCACCTTATGTATGCATAAAAATAAGGTACTAAATTATAGACTTTTCTCATTTATTGTACCTACAACTCAATAGAAACATTTTATGTGATGCACTTTTTCATATTTAGGGGAATTGTTATCATATATTCAAATTTCTACCACACTAACATTTCAGCAGTCATTTATAAAGTTCAAACAAATTCAAATTATGTGTAGCCGATGTAAAATCTGTCATGTCTCGTTCCAGTCAGTTGCCAAGAGGACCGCCAAGTAGCATCTCTGTGTACGCGCCCCTGCATCACAACTCGGCGGCCAGAATTGGAAAGGAATTAGGATTAGGGTAGGGTTTAGGACACTTCACAGGGGGTTGGACTAGCCCCTGTGAAGCATGCAAACTCATTTCAGCGTAACAAATTACACATGAGGTTCTACAGGGATTCTGTGGGAATCGAACCTGGAACCTCAGTGGTGAAAGGCAAGTAACTTCGCCACAAGAGCATTTTTTGAATGATTATATCATAATCGGCAAACAACTTTATTAATTTTAAAAAATCTATAAGTTAAACATCCAGAAGTTATGAAGTTAAAAAGAAATTATCACACTTTTTTTCATTTAAATATTATATCTGGAAAACAATTAGAAACATTTATACCAAAATAAGTCTTAAACGTCACTATTTCAACAATCAAAACCTGCATACACTCTCCTGTACAGTGATAAATATTATTGCTCAATAATGAGAATTCCTTGAATTCCAAACTACCATCTATCAACATTCTCATTGCCATTTTCATATTGGAACATATCTTATAGTTTTTGCATCAAAGGTACGGGAGAAAATTAATATAAAATTAAAAAACTAGTGGCGGTACAAACTGGCACAAACAATCATATTTGCAAGTTTCCTAAACTCTTTAGTCTGGGCTAGCTTTTAGTTTTCCCAATTTTCCTCACTTTCATCCCCATGTAGTTAAATATTACAGAAGAGTACAGCCTGATTCTATATGAAAATACATTACAGTCACTTACGGGCATTACTTGTTCCCTTTCACTTAATGATTAATAATTAAAAAACAGAAGCTCTCTTCAGAGAATGTGAAGTATGTAATACGGAGATTTGTATGTGTCCAGATGAGTTGATTTGTAATTATGAAAGGTACAAACGTCTTGTTTGGCATTAGTAGATGTAGAGGTGCAATTCTAAAACAAAAGTTTATTGAAATATTTTAGAGAGTTATTTCCAAACTGAAGTGTGTGTTATTCATTATACTTTATTGTGTACACAGGATGATATTTTATGAAAACGATGCAACCATGATTAAGTTTATTATGTAAACATTAACTAGGACATATTTAAAATTTACTTCAATTCTTAAAATTTGCAATTCAGAACATTAAAAATATTCACTACTAACACAGTTTTCACTCATTTCACAAATAGTTTCAGTATGTAATTTGTATGAACGTCAACTCTGAGGAAGAGGTATTCTTGTCTACTCTTCAATTATTCTAAACAAAATTATCACAGAAATTCATTTTTTTAAAAGATTTTTGTAACAATACACTACAAAATATATGGAATAAAGATTACACAAAATATATGTATCTTACAAAGATAATATAAAATATATTATGAGGAAAGTGGATCTGTGTTTTCAAAATCAAGGGAAAGTTGCACAATGAAACAAGTATTATGGTGAAAATTTCTGATATTTGGCTTTTGTGTGAGCATAAGGCACTGACAATGCAGTGAACAATCATTTGTATAATTATTTCTTCAACCGATTTGTCCTTGACCCTTATTAGTGTTGTGAGTACTTCAAATGTGTCTTCTCATCACTACTTATGGTCTGCATTGGAGCGATGTTGCCCTTCAGTGATAACAGTCTTGCAGGGAAAGGAGTACATATGTCCTGAACCAGTACCTGAAAAACACAGTATCTGCATTACAGCTCCAGAATTTCCTGGAACAAATTCCTCTGGTCTTTCTTAATGCATTCTTTTATTTTTCCCAAAAAGAATTTACAAAGCGATTCATGCCATCTGTGGCAAATTTTAAAGAAATGCACGATGGGCTCATTACCTACTTGTCAGCTCCTCAATTACATCCCAAAAATGACAAAATTAACAGTATTTGCTCAACAAATGAAAATTACATAAAAAATAATTCTGTAGTAATATGTTTCAAGAAATTCCCCTCCCTTCTTAAAATTCATCAACAAATTATCCACAAGTTTTCCAGAAAGAGACCACCCAGAACCCAACAAAATTCCAATTCAAAAGCACACACTAAAACATATTCACTTACATGTATGTTGCAATATGGCACCATATGTTTTAACTAGCATGCAACACTCTGCATAACATCTACTTCTTTAATAACTCTGCCATTTGATTGTTGCTCAAGATTTCAATCCAGTATCCATCAGGATCTTTAATGAAGGCAATACCTTTCATTTTACCTACAACAAGTGAATTGCAATTGAACATCAAGTGCATATTTCTTTATAAAGGTACAAGATATTTTACATTATCATTTATATCTAGTGTGTTTTATAAAGCATAAAAATTAAGTAATAATAGCGAAGTTCAATATTTTATACAGTACAATCTAAGAGGGAAACCTGCAATCTGGGACAAAAAAACTTTGAACAGAACGATTTTACATGTAAAAAAGACCTCTATAAGCTTGAAATTTGTCTAACGCAGAAATGGAATGAGTTTTAGAGAACATAAATAAGATTATTACCTGGCTAACAAGAAAATTTATTTTAAATTTCTGGCACTATCTTTGGAATGGCATAGTGCAAAGGGTCACAAGGGCTGGAAAAATAGAGTAAAGTTGGAGTTATTCCTCTTAATCCCGCGGTAGGGGAGTCTGGTGAACCACGAGACTATTTCACTGCGTCTTTCTCAATGGTCCTCCCCACCCTGTTGAATTTCCAAAAGCATCACGTTTCCATCAGTCAACAATAGAATCCGGGATGGCTGACTAGTCAACCTAGCACAGCAGTCATAGGGTTGACGAGGTGTAGACCAAACAACTTAGTAACCACCGTATAGTGTAAGAAAGCTCTGTACTCGTGTGCCAAAATATCTTCAAAGCGTTTGTGCCAAACACATATGCATCAGAATAAAATGGAAGTGATTGATGAACACTAGAAAAACAACGTCCTGCAAAAGATCTAGTAGTGAAATTCAAAGCGAGTAAAATTCAAAATTCATGAAATTTTATGAAAAAATTCAAAACGAATGGTTATAAGAACAAAATTATATCAAAAATACTGTACTTATGTTATGTGGTGATTTTTTGTCAACCCTCAACCTGCCAAGACGGAAATGTTTTGATTTTACTGTATTAATGACTAGACGAAAAACAAACTAAAAAGTTTTGTGAAAATCTTCCGCAATAGTTTCTGGATTACGAGATACATCACTTTAAAAATGCAAAATTTGAATTTGAATGCTTCAAGTTGTGATGTCATAACTATGGTTGCCTTTGTTCTCCACAGCAACTTGCAATGCGTTTTGTTGCGATTGCCATCATTGGGTATGATTACTGATTAGTTGTTTTTATTTCCTTTTGTCTAGTACATTGTCAGTTCATTTTGGTTTTGTTAAAGGAAAGTGACAGAACTGAAGCATTTCAAAATAAGTTACAAAATACTTCATAGTAGCATTTTAGTTATTAAAGTGCAAAAACCCCATCACTCTTTCTCTGCTGACAAGATAAGAATATACAAGAAAACTATGGTATAAAGTGGCAAGAAGGTACAGAAAGAATTGTCTTAGGTTAATAAACATAACTTTGAAATAATAATAATAATCAAATTATTGTTTTATGGTTTGTCAAGAGGGCAGAAAAACAGAGGTCTTAATATATCACAAAAAGACGATCAAAAAACACTTGTTACAAGAGTAAAATACACAAAATGGAATCCCAAATTTAAAACTGACCAGCTTCTTCTGTTCCAACAAGCAGCTGCACAAAGATATTCGTTGCTGTTACTTGTACATATTTTGTGCAAGAGGATTTTCTTTTGACATTTGCTTCATTTTGCATTTCAGTAAAACTTGCTAAAATGGCCACCTCCATCAATAGTCATTTTTCAGTAGAAACAACTAATTTCTCCACAAGACTTGTAAATATTCCCCATTCCTGGCCCCCGTGATCAGGCACATCACATTTCATACATTCACGTCAATTAAGTGGTCCCTAGCAATTTTTACTGTAATACAATAAGAGGAAGGGCAATAGATGTAGTGTAGACACAATACCCTTCTGCAACGGGACGCTTTGTGAGATTACTTAGAACAGTGACACGTCCTCCCCCAAGGGCTTAATTTCTGTAGAAGTCAAAAAAAGATGATTTTAATAAGTATCTATAATACAAAACATTTGTTTTGCTTACACTCTAGCCTTCTCATGAAGCTTGCATATTCCTTTATCCTGTGTGTGGGAACTTGTCAACAGCTGGGAGAGTATATCACTTTAGCGAAACCAATATGATGGTAGTTCGCAAACTATTTTGTGGGTCAGCCCTGCCTACAGAAGATGAATTGCATTTTGAAGACTAGATTGCTTGCGAGTTTGGTTTGGTGGGGTTGGAAAGAGCATTTCACAAGGGCAAGAAGATTTGACACTAGACGAGAGAACACTCCTAGCAAACAAGAAGTTTCAGCTTGGAAAATGGGTTGACATTTTAAGTGAAGTAGGGCACAAATTTAACCAAATTATAAGAAAGAATGGACATATTTGACAAGTTTCGAACCTGTTCAGCTAGAAAGAAGTGCAATGTCTTCTGAAAAATCAGCTCTGCAAGGTATTTTACAACAAATCATTCAATGAGTATAGTGTCAGAGTAATTTAATGCCAACTGTTACATAATTTTTTTGAAATAGAGTCCAAGATGGAAGAAGGGTGCAAATAGAGAGAAAAAGTCACGTTTATAGGAAATCATTAAAGATGCAGTTAGAAAACAATGAAGATTAGTTCTTACCATCATTTGGTCGCTTTACAAATTCTACTCCAAGATTTTCAAATCGTTGACAAGCTTCATCCACATTAGGCACCATAATTCCTATGTGTCCTACAACAAGAGAATGTATGATAAAAAATACATTCATGATTGCAAATAATCAAATTTATTCGACCATTTGATTTCCACGAAGATACCGTCATTTTGTATCGAAGTATATATGTGTTTTATTAGTTTAGGCAAAAAAATGATGCCAGTGAAAATCATTTGAAAAAAATATATTAACATTCTAGATATACTTAAAGTTAATTACAAGATATGAATGAAAAACCGAAATGTCTCATACACAATTTTCTGAAGGTAAGAAAAATGCACTTCTGATGTATGGGACTTATTGTTTTTACTCTGTACAATTTGTTTGAATGTTTTGTTCCACATTGAATTACATAATTACTGACAAAAATTGTACACTTTCTTCCAGCTAAACTAAAATACTAATTAATTTGAATACAATTGTCTTTAGATACAGACATATTTTTTAACATTAAAATGTCTTTGTCCTTCACTAAAATTAAATAAAACAACTATCTATAACAAAATAAAGTTTCTCAGTGTATGAACACAATTTCCTCCTTAAGCCTGTTTTACATTATCATTTTCTCGTGATTTTTCATGTGTACAGAAAAATGACGGAACAGACAGTATGTAATTTATACAGAAAATGACGCATGCATCATTTTCTTACAGCTAAACTAAAGTTACTTTCTGGAACTTTTCCTTGTTTGCTACGCTTGTGCAATTTTGAGGTCGTACTTGAGTTGAGTACTATGAGTTCAATAAAGTGTAATGTAAAGCAATTAATGTGGTGAGTAAAACGTGTACTTCAGCTTCTGGGACAATGACCCCCATCTCAATCAGGTTTTCGTCCAGTTTCTCTGATACCTGAGCAAATACTGAGATGGTCCCTTGTTTTGCTTCTGGACATAAATGTAACTTCAAATTAATTTCACCTCATAGCATGTCACACACAGTTTTTAACCATTTTTGACATAAATACATGACACTTTGTTCTGTGCTCAGTCCTAAAATAACTTGGCTTAACTTGAAACCATAAAAGCAATATTCAGCAATTTGATTTTCAGTGCTTTTTGTAACGTCTAGTGGAAATATTTTCACCATAATTAAATCCAGAAAATTACATAGAACAAAATGCTGGATCTCATTCATCCAGTTTTGATACCGAAACAAAACTAAGCAGAAACAATCCCTTTTCTGTACCAAAAAAAAAGACTTTAAAATATTTGCATTGTACATTGTTTGTTTCTGTTTCTTGTAAAAACCATTCCTCTGAAATTTTATTTCACAGCACAGAATATAATAACTTACCAAATCCTCTTGGATCAGAGTTGCCAGTATGATAGTTCACATCTGGGTCGGTCTCGGATCCCCAATTACTGAAAATATGAAGCCATTTTAGAGTTTCTAAATTCTACACATGTGATCAACAAAATATAATTCAATTTTGAAGTTAATTCATTATGAAAATTTTACATTGTTCTAGGTCCTATTATTTACCTCAAGACACTGTAATAGTGGAAGAAAAAATAGAGTATTTGTTAAATTAAATATATCATTCAATGAATATATATAAAAACAAAAATATTACCAACAGATCAATGACTATGACGTCCTACTCAACATAATGTCCTTTAAACGACAAAGAAAAAATTAAGTTTAATCAAGAGCACATATTAGGAGATAATAATCTGGCACAGTCATTTAATTAAAAGTCAACAATATCACTCACTGTGTGAGTTCCAAAGTCGCTTTGCGTGAAAATGTCCATTTCGCTCGCTCTGATGCATCAGAAGGTATGTCTTCAGCTTTTTCAAATCCCATAAAATATAAAGAAAATTTCATTTCAGGAAAATCTAATTTCTGCAATAAACGCATTCCTAAAACATTGGTGTAGAACTCCAGAGATCGTCTAGGATCTTTGATACGGTACATGGTTTGTTGAAATATGAAGTCCTGGAAAGGAGAACAAAATAATATTAAGAGTAAATCAATGCTCATGTATTCAAGTTTCTAATAGAAATCATTATAATGATAACCTTTGTAGAAAGATCAGGTTCTTTACAGCATTGCTTGGCTTCAGCATCAGTCAACCCCACAGTGTCACCCATTGCTATAAAAACAATATTAAGGACTTCAATTTACAACGAATGTAATTGCAAATTATAATAGTTCAAAATTATCTCTTTTTCTGCACTTTCGAAGACGGTATTGTCAATAATTACTACTGTAAAAGCCGAGAAATTTATAGAAATCGCGTTGATCTATGGAAGATATTTCAATATAGTTTTAAGAACTTTACTAAAGTTATCTGTAAGAACACGTTATCATCGAGAAAATATTGATAAACATTTAAATACAAACTCATATACTCACCGTTGATAACGAAATAGATAACAGGTCAATGGAACGTGTGCCCTGAAATTTAACCCAAAGATATGTTTAATACACAACACTATATTTGAATAAAGATCACCAGCTACCCGGAACAACCCGGAATTTGACAAATCCGGGAGACTCAGTTGCCCTGCTTGCAACTCCGCCAAGGACCAATGAAACAACCAAAGATTGAACTATACAGAAGATTGGATTGAACTATAGCGAGTGTTGGACCAACAAGGGAACCACCGGGAACCACCCATAGTGGTAGAGACTCCAAAAAATAGTATATAAAATACATAGAAGTCTGTAAGAGCACCTTGAATACACTTTTACCGCTACAAAAGCTAGTGCAGCGCTAGAGTACGATTTATTTATACATCCGTTTGAAGTAAATAAGCTGTTGAGGGTTTCATCCAATCGAGAGCTTATATGTTGCTACAGTGATGTCATACGGTGACGTTAGCTCCCGATTAGAGAGACCGTCAACAGCTGATTTACTTCAAACGCACGTATAAATAAATCCAAGAATAGTGTGTAGTAGCACAAACCAAAACGCCAGAACGACGTCACTACGTTTGGCGGGAAAGTGTTTGGTGAAGAGCAGGTGGCAAGCGTTGGTGTGCGCGTAAGCGCTAATTTATTATGTCGATCTGGACCTCGTATTATAAATATACGTAGAGAATCGTGAGGATAGGTCAATAAATTCTGTTTTTTAAATGCCATCGTTTCGACCATACACTAGGCCTGCTTCATGACTAGAAAACAACAATATTCATACAATTTTCTATACTACAAAAATTAGAAATAACAAATAATAGTTGGAAAATATTGTGAAAGATCACATTATATATATATATATATATATATATA